ATCATATTAAAAGTGGTCTTCTACGAAATGGTAAGTGGTTTCAATAATATAATTAGTTGCAATCAGGAATATAGTTGCTTTTTAGACTACGTAAACGCAAACTCCACCGCCTAAAATTTTCTTTGTTGTTGCAAAATCTTCTTTCATTTCTCGCATCTACTTGCACTGCACATTATCTTTTTGCAGGAAATCTTCAGAATCGTCATCAATCTTCTTTGTATATACTCAGCGTGTGCTCAGCAAAGGACAACAAAACACAATTTTCCCTGCATCGTAGATAGAGTCGCCCCCTCGCATTATCCCGGGATGCAACGACAAATTTCCACTTTTTGGGTTTCGAACTCGGGGGGTCACAAATTTGCGCAGTGGAGAAAGGTTGCCACTGTTTACGGAACAGGGAAAGAGCGAATATGCTCCCATAATTGTGTTGAAGTAGACTTTGTTGAATATAAAGTTTGTTGTCGTTGGGTAATTTAAGATTAATTTCATGGTTCCGCTCCCCGGGATGGGAAATTTGCAGCACAAACCCATTCCTCTTAATTCTTGCTTTGCTGCTGATCTACTGGTGTAGCCTAGGCACATGCTAGGTCTCTTAATCCGCTAGCACGGAGTCCCCAACATAATACAGTATATCCAGCAGACTGACTTGGACGTCGATTTCAGGATGGGAATCTGCAATCATACAAAACAACCAAAATAATATCGGTGCATAGAAAAACGCATTTTAATTATCTTTCAATGGCATTGCAATGAAAATTAACATAAGATTGCATTATTCGACAAATTTCTTACATGTATCATCCATTATAATGATCGTATCTCATTAGTTTGAACCTTTTTTTTCAATTATTTATCATTCAAACTCTGGATTTTGAACCGGCTGTCATAAATTTAACACCATCCACTAGTACTATTTCCTGCCACTAGTGACGCATAAATTTCACTTGGATTCTACTATAGCCGATCCAGCATTTACAACATCCTCTGCCTTCTGGAGCATCGAACGGAAGCCTAGTTCCGGCCGCCCGACAGTGCTGCGTGACCGGGAGGACGGAGCAACCGGCCAAACGATGAAGATGTATCTGGACAAGATGGACATTGTTATGCAGAAGCGTCAGCCGTGGCCGGCCGTTCCAGAGCAGAAGCAAAAACATCCAGTAGGAGCGGCTGAAGGTGCTGGTGAAAAACATCTTTCCGACGAAGCGCGAAGTCGTAGTCATGGAAGACCGCCAACCCTCCTAACGTCCCCCAGCTGCGACCGATAGAAAATTTTTGGGTGAACCTCAAACGGAGAATCTATTGCAATAAGTTTGTGGCTAAAACGGAGGAGCAACTGATCGCCAAGGCCACGAAAGAGCTGAAAAACATACCGACATCCATCTTTTCATCGGCCAGGGCTAAGGTCTCGGCCAACTGCCGTAAGACCGGCCGGCAGGGCGTCGAAGCATTTTTGTAGAAGGCTTAATAAGCGTAGGATTTAAGAAAAAAAATTGTATCATTGGATTACCTTTTGTAGTTTTGTTTTCATCGCCATCCGAAATTAGTCCTTTTTTATGCACGATGAAGTCAGCTTCACAATATCGACAGCAGCGAGAGACTATAGAGTTTTACTTTTTTTCAGTGACATCGCAGCGATATGACGATATGTCAAAAAAGCGAGGATCAATTTCCGCGTGCAATGCTCTATGGTGCTCTGAAAATAATCGGATTATGCGTTAAAAAAGGTGCAGGCATCGAAAGGTTTGAATTGATAACTGTGGAAGTATGTATATCTACACGCTAAGATCAGATAACCCAAATGTAGGTTTAATTTACCCAAATCAGGCGTAAACTGCACAAACTCAGATATGGGTAAATTTTTTTAACCCAAATATGGGTAAATTTAAGTCAAATTTGCATAAAAATAAATCATTTATGGATCATAAGAACCCATATTTGGGTTAAAAAAATTTACCCATATGTGAGTTTGTGCAATTTACGGCCAATCTCGGTAATCTCTTTGTACCGTCTAGGTAAACTGATCTTAGCGTGTAGAATACTCAGTTGAGCATGCGATAATCAATAAGTTTTAAAAATGCGAAGAAGAATAAGAAGAAGAAGAAGAAGAGTCATTGAATAAATGATTCAATAATTAAATTCATCAATTATTAAATGCATCGAATTACAAAAGAATCGAATTCTCAATCCCTACCCCGCCATCCATTTGTTACAATTTGTTAACCCTAAACTCGAGATATTCTTAGTTTTAAGTAATTTTGTAATCTAAACAATGAATAATGACTCCACAAAGCTACGGAAAATGAGCCTGGAAAAAATAAACGCATTATATATGTATAAAAAAGGAATCGAATTATCAAAGAATCGAATTATTAAAGAATCGAAGAATCAAATAGTCAGATAATCGAAAATCAAATAGCCAAAAAAATCATCATTCAAAAAATCCTATTCTGCTTCATTTAAAAAAAAAACTATGGAATTGTAATCAATAAGACTATACTACAGTTTGATTCATAACCCCAAAATATAATTATGTTAAAAAATGGTAAAGATTGCTGAAGGTTTAGCGGTTGCGCAAATAGTTTGAAGTTTGTATGGAGATTACCCAAGGGATAAGTCACTCAGCACATTGTGCCGAAATTAAATTCAACACAGCTTGGGCACATCCATCGGCACACCTTCGACATACCTTGGGCACACCTTCAACACAATCTCGTAGGCATTGGATTGTTGTAAATAAATTGGGACCACTAGTGGACAACTGTCATTGAAGTTGTTCACATCATTACGTGCTGTTTGACTTTCAAGAACATCCTCTAATTTAATATATCAGAGGAACTCAGACCAGCAGTTCACTTATAAAAAATAGCTAAATACGAAATGTAGGTTCTAAAGTGGGCTCAAGAGAAAGAGGCAGTTAAACAGACCCCATTAGTACCCTTAATTTAAATAATGCTGCAGATCACACAAAACATAATAAAGAAGTCTATTCATCATCCTCTATTGTCAGTCTCCAACAATGCTCCCCACCGGTATCAACTCTTTCCGGCCGCTGATAGACCGATGCTTTTCATATCACGAAAGGCTAGGTTTCTGGTCTGCTTTTGAAGGCATTATAGAAGACTAAAACATAAGACTTTAGTCATCCTATGAACATAAAACACCAACCCCAGCCACTTCCCGCGTCATCCTCAATCCGAATAATCCTTGCGATTTCAAACCAAAACATAAAAGGTGTCAGAAATACCGGGTTGCCGCGATGGGTATTTTACAAACAATCGCAGCTTGCTCTATGGTCAGCACAATCGGCACACTGACAAAAAAGATGACTCAAGACTGGTGTGCGGAGTGACCTACCCCTTAAGATTACCCAATAATCATTGAACGTTGAATAAAAGCTTATTCGAGCAAAAATAAGCTTCTGCAACTATAAAATTGCTTCTTCAGCTCTTAATCAGTTAAAATTGTTTGTTGGGTATGGCCAATCAGAGATTGGAGAATGGAGATTTTTGAATTTTACTTACATTGCTCTAACATTGGTTCTAGTTGTGCAATCACTAAAAAAATAGGTATGTGGAGGGCATGACAATAATTGTTGTTGTTGTGAAGAAATTGGTGGTGTTTTCTGGTACATATCCAATTATAAATTTACCCTACTCTGTATTTTTTCCACATTTCTGTCTGGAATCCCTATCAAACTGGCCTTAACAACAACAGGCTTGTTAGCCATTGCCACAGCAACCACATATTCAGCGTTTGGACTACTAGAACAAAAGTTAGAGCGATATAAGTTATGTTAAATTGAAAATGCTTCCAAAGTACGTAATTCCCATACAAACTTCAAACCATTTGTGTGACCTCTAAACCATCATCAATGCACAGACTCATATTTTAAGGTTATAAATCAAACTAAAGGGTGGCATTAATGATTGCAAATAGTTTTACAGAATGAAGCACTTTAATCAAAGAACAAATAAATAATCGATTAATTAACGAATCAAACAAACAAAGATTCTAAACTTCAAAGAATCAAGGAAATAATCATATAATAATCAGGTCTTAGGATCAAGCAATTGTTACAAACTTGTTGTCTATCGATATTACACTGTTCGGCTCACTTCGGAATCATGACATTAATGTTTAAACAAAATGAAGCTTAGCATTCTTCACAAAAACAACCGTGCTAGCTCCGTCAACTGGATGCTCCGAGGGCAGCACCATCTCGTTTCCACAGTAGTTAACTGACAGAGGCATTATTCATGCATCTTTAAAATGTGTCTCTTTATCCCGGAAACCCTGCGGCACACTCAAAATTACACTTATTAACTAATCATCCATTATTCATTATCCCTCGTTCTCCCGGGTGCAAACACGCTAATTGTAGACCTCGCTAAACGTTGGCCCAGCAAAACACTCTTCTAATCAATAGTCGCCGGATCACTGATCGCGTTACTAAATTAGCTACGTTACCCGATTGATTCTAATCATATGTATCATCACGAGGCAGCGCGACTTGAGTTAGTACTGCACGACCTCTCCCAAAACACTGTTATTAAATAGCTCCCGATCGATGTTCCACAGTCCATGTCTTTCTGGTACACGAAAAAAAAAGCTCTGTCCAGATAAATTTATTACTGGTAGATCGCTGCTGCGATCCGTGAAGCGTGTGTGACAAGATCGTCGTCTCGTCACCTGTCTTCAACTTATGACAAATCTATCCAATGCATGGGGATTGAGTTGACCGAGGTGCATGTTCGGGGAAAAACACATCTTGGAAGTTGCATCTCGGATTTATGCCCCAAAGGGTGCATTAGATAGGTGCGAGGGTGTGGTGCAAGAGGGTACAGTTAATTCTATCGGATATAAGATCTATTGCTGGGATATGCAAAAACCGAATAGATTCGTCACACTACGGTACCATTGCGTGCGGTTATAAAAGCATCGATTCTAGTCGTCTTGGAGAACACTTTGTCGGCAATCGTTAAAGCTGAATATTCAATCGCGATCGTACGGAGTCCACTTAAAGAAAGTGGCAATTTGCGAAGTGATCTGATAGTGTAAATCTCAGTTGGCGTTAGTGAAAATATTGTTGTGAAATGCAATCGCTCCTGAAATGCTATCGAGGGGTGAGAAAAGTGGAAAATATATGCAAGGAAAAATGCAGTGATTGAAGCTTTTGTTGTTTTATAGATCCTGTTGGTGTTTTGGCTTGAATCAGTGACAGTTTTTAGCGCGACTATTGATCCAGCATCCTTCTATCAGCGAAGCAACGATGGATCGTACAGATACGGATACAGTGCAGGTGGTGGAATCAATGCAAGACAAAGTGCAACTTCCGCCAACGAAGTGGTTGGTCAGTACGCTCAACTGCAACCGGATGGAAGGATAGTGAATGTCCGGTACAAAGCGGGTGTGGGAGGATTTCAGCCTCAGTATGGTGCAGGTTAGCGAAAGTAAACCCAAAAATGAAACGAAATTGTTGTGTTGTGTTGGAATTTAATCGATAAGTTTTGGATTTCCCCCTCCCCGACGTTTTAGCTTGTATTTTGTTTTGTCGTTTAAAGGGAAAATACAGTCTACAGAATCATTGGGTTGTGCAAAAATAACCGTTTCAATACCCACAATACCTACTAAGTAAGACATAAATATATGATCGCAGGGTTTCAATCAAGTTTTGTGTTGTTGTGTTCAAAGCAAGGAATCTATTTTTTCGTAGCGATCAAATTCTACACTATACCAGTTTTGGCTTTGACTGTTGTTTAGAGATTTGGATTTATTTATTTTATACACCGTGGTTTCTGAGTACACTAACAGTTCGATTATCGATCAGAAGATATATAATTTTTTTCGGTCAGAAAAAATGCATTACCCATGCTTCTACCTTCCCAGGATCGTAAAATATCAGCGAAACCAATTATGTAGTCTGTAATCTCACAAATCTATGAATTGCTGGCAGTTTGACTAAAGTACACCGCACAATGTATTCAGATTTGAGACGTTGTGGCAAAGTGACAGGTAAATTTTTTGTCTAACTTTTTGTCAGAGCGCCCCTCGGTGGTACTTTATATGAAAACACAGAGAACAGACGTTGGGGATCGAACAAAATTTCTCTAAAAACTAGTGTAAAGATTCCTATTCGACTTGAGCGCCACTAACGGCGACTTCCCCACTTAAAAACCCTCTTTGACAACCTGATGGTGCTGGCGTTGCACAACTTACACTAGACACTAAGTGGCAATTTTAAACAGAAAAATGTATCGATACTAGCGCCAAATTGGTCGAAAGTGGAAAATATATAGAGGAAATCAGGAGATGCTAGCGCTACGTAACGGCGACGTTTCCACTTAACTTTACACAAGTTTCTGACCGAAGTTGGACGTCTGTTCTCTGTGATGAAAGTGAGCTGTCCTTTTGTTACTTTTGTGTCAGTGAAGTGATTATTTTGCTTTGAAACTCTATTTAAAAATCGAGATGGAGTAAATGCGATCGAAAAATGAAGCCCTTCCAGATGATGTACAGTAACTGATATATTTATTAAAAAAAAAAATGATCCTCGATTTTCACAAGTTGTTTCACAAGTATTCATGATACTCTGTTAAAATATCAGCTTTTTTGATGAAGGTATTTTGATATATATTGGTATTTGTAAAGAAAATTAGATAATTCCATGAACTTCAGCAGAACTTCCCTGAACTTCGGCAGAATTTTTTTTTTATATCTTTATTAAGGAGACTTTCAGCCCTAGGCTGGTTCATCTCCGGCTAGGCAGAACTTCCCTGAACTTCAGCAGGACTTCCCTAAACTTCGGCAAGACGTCCTTGAACTTCGGAAGCACTTTCCTGAACTTCGGAAGGACTTTCGGCAGGGCTTCCCTGAACTTCATCAGGACTTCGCTGAAGTTCGGCAGGCCTTCCCTGAACTACGGCAAGACATCCCTGAGCATTAGCAGGACTTTCCTGGAACTTGGAGTCTTTGAATTGAAGTTGTCATTTCAGTAGTAGAGGTATTATAATCATACAATAATACTGTGTTTACGAATACAGTAAAAATTACGATACTTCTCAATTTCCTTATTTGCAATGCTTGTTGGTATTGGTGCATTTTGAATTTGGATGTGGTTCGAACGGGTGTGGATTCAGTATCAGCGGAAAAGCATTAACTTTCACCTTAATTAAAGAACTCAATTGAACACGATAAACCAGCAATCTATGGGACGTGACCCACCGGTGGATCGTGAGCTGGTCATAAGTGGGTCACAAGAATTCAATTTTTCAAATTATATGGCATTAACCCTGAGTTGAAATTTACACCTATATCAAAATATAAATGCTTTAAATGGCTTAAATTTAGAATTGGTAATAAAGTATCTTAAAATATAAAAAGAAACTTGAATAAAGGTTTTAGACCTGATGGTGGAAGGAAATATAACTCCGCTTCTCGTGATCCAAATTCGTTTGCTCTTTTCCAAGTATAATTTGAGTTCGCTTCTCATAATCCAAATTCGATTGCAATTTTCCAAGTAAAATTTGACTTCGCTTCTTGTAAGCTAAATTCGTTTGTACTTTTCCAATTAAAATATGACTTCGCTTCCCGTTCTCCCTTCGTTTGCGGTTTCCTGATGAAAATATTAAAAATTCTTTTTTTGTGGAATTAAGTAGTCGTCGACTACCCTAAAGCACAGCCCAAGTAACAATTTGGGTTTTATGAGGGTTCTGTAGATCATGATTTAGACTTGTAGAGTGCTTTAAAACCTCTTTAAAACTTGCAATGTTACTTGGGAGCACTATCAGACGCGCACTGGCAGATAGCACTGGCTATTAAGGCTTTCTAGGGCGATTCAATGGTATTTTTAGCGTTTTAAAGGCATTTTTGGCAATTTTATGGTCATTTTAGTGGATTTATTCCTTTTTGGCATCAATAAACTTTTGAAGTTTTAGGACTCATTTATAGATTCTTGGTCATTTTTGGCGTCTTAAGAGTCATTTTGGCGATGCTAGAACCCTCAATTTTCACAGACTTCAGGTTTAACTTAATTTTTAACTATAAAGATATTGATGGGTCGCAAGATTATGGAATTCAAAGTGGGTCGCAATCAACGTAAGTTTGAGAACCACTGCGATAAACAGTATCTTAACTTACAATTTTCACATGAAAGCTTTTCACGAACATGGATTCAATAAGGGTCCACTTTCATCATCTAAGACCCAACAATGCATGTAACTTTGCCCCCTCGAAAACAGTTCTTGAAATGAGATTGTTGTTTTGTTTTCTTCATTTTAGTACCTATTTAGTAATTTCACTTCTTAAATTGAATAAAATGCGTTCTAAAACCCGAAAAACTTGTTGTTGTTCCTCCAGTGAGCATGAGAAGATGGCGGCGCAAAGCACTGGCAAGAACTTTTCATTAAAATAGAGCAGAAAATTTACTCAATTCGTCTCAATACTATAATGGTTCGTTTGTGGGTCACAATTTCAAATGAGCAGTGAAGTTTTTGATTCATTGAAATTGGGTTTTATTACTGAAACATAATTTATATGCTTGATAGGCTGAGATAAGGGGATAAGTAGACCTAGTTTACAACCCGTAACCCTAACTAACAAATTGACATATCGGCCCATGCTAAAATACCACCGGAGGGACGGTGGTGATTTCTGCAATGTAATCGCAAATTGAGTTATTTAATTAAAAAAAATATATATATCGGTCACTATACACCATCTCAAAGGGCTTAATTTTTTTTAGTACAACGGTATTTATTTCCATCTCGATTTTAAATCAATATTTAAAGCAAAATAGCCACTATACTGTTGGACAAAAAATTGACAGGTCGCTTTCATACAAAGTGCTTCCCAGGGGAGCTAAGATGGTGATTTTTGCTAATTTACTCAACAAACAATTTGAGCTGATTAAAAGCTGAATAAGCTATTTTTTAGTTGAGCAAGCATATTTTTTGCCTGAATCAGCTCTTATTCAGCTACCAATATTTGTTGCACACTTATTTAAAACAATCCCAGTGTGTGTGGCTACAATCCATCGCCCACTGACCGGCATCTATCCTGGATCATAATGAAATAATCCCAGTGCTGCAATATAGATAGCATTTTGGATTTCGGTCTCATTCGAAATACATATTACGAACATGTAATTACCCCAATACTCCTAACGAACCCAATGTTTTAAAACATAAACTACCCATTCTATGCCCTTCTAATGCACAACTGCTAAAACCTTATTCATTTCAGGATCGTCGGCATATAATGGAGCTGCATTTGGTGGTTCACCTGGATCACCTGGAGGACTAGGAGGTGGTTCTTACGGCGGTGGATCCCTCGGTGCAGGACCTCTCAGCAGCAGATCTCTCACTGGAGGTCCAGGATCGTTTGGTCCAGGATCGTTTGGTCCAGGATCGTTCAACACTCCACGATCTTCCACCGATGGTTCGCTGAATGGTGGATCTGGAGGAGCATATTCACCAGGAGGTGGATCTTACGTTGGTGGACCCCTCAGTGCTACGTCTCCGGGCAGTAGATCTCTACCTGGAGGATCATCGTTTGGTCCTGGGTCGTTCAATACTCCTAGATCATCCGTTGATGGCGGATCTACAGGAGGTGGATTGAATGGTGGCGCATCACTTGGCCCAGGATCACCTGCCAGTAGATCCCCTATTGGTGGTTCACCTGGAATCGGGCAATTACCCGCAAGTGGACAACTGGCTCCTGGATCGATCGGCAATAGATCTCCTGTTGGTAGTGGATCGTTTGGAAGATCCTATCTCGGTGCAGGCTTAGCTGGACCCTCATATGGAGGATTTCAATATCCAAGTCCTCGCTATGCTGTAACTCCAGCCTATAGTGGGGATTCCAACCATAGGCGAAGGCCTCCATTTGCAATGGCTCCTACTCCTACACCCATTCTCAACACAGGACCCCTAGGAGATGGATCATACCGCTTTTCATACGCTAACGATAATTCGGCTCGAACTGAAAGTGGTGACCCTAGTGGAACTGTCAGAGGAACCTATTCCTTCCAAAACGATGCAGGTAATCATGATCTTTCGTATGTGGCAGGGCCAAACACTGGATTTCGACCCACCGGAGGTAGTCTAGCTTCTCCTAATGGCTTACCAAAACCAGTTTCTTCATCGACCACGACATCAGCTCCCGTTACGGCGAGCCAATCTGGTCCTAGAAATGATGGGACTTACAACTTTGCGTACCGAACTCCGGATTCCACGAGACAGGAATCAGCCGACAATCGGGGAAACGTTCAGGGTTCGTATTCATTCCGTAACGAAAACGGTGATCATGATCTTTCTTTTGTCGCTGGACCGAGTACGGGATTCCAACCCACAGGGGGTAGCCTAGCTGTTCCCAATGGTCTCGGACAGAGAAGACCTTCAATACCTACCTCCACCATTTCACCAATCGGTACAACGTTCGCTACAACTACGTTGCGAAACGGCAGTCCCACTGATCGATCGTTCCAAAATGAACCCGTTTCCGTCCGGGATACTCTTGGAAACGGTGATAGGGGTCGTTCTGGACTTGAATTTGAACCTACTGATAGCGATAATGTGTACACCAACAATGGTCAGCGTCAGCCTTTTACAACCACGGTTCGTCCGGAGAGTTTCCAGAATATTAATGGTGGCCCAAGGTATTTACATCAGAATGGCGGTTTTGGTAGACAGGGATCTAACGGAGCAGGAGGGGTTGACCAGCGCTACGATGGCAGTATCAACAATGGTGTCCAACCGGTAAATTTGGCAAACACAAACAGACTGTCGGGAGATCCTACAAGTCAAACAGGTGTAGATGGATCACACGGCTTCCCCTATACGACGTCCAGTGATAATTCCTTCGCTGACGGCCAACACAATTTACGGGGAACCAGTGGAAGTTTGTCTAATAACGGTCTATCGTTTGATCGTGGAAACGGATTGAACTATGGACCTGGTTCCGGTAATGGTGGTTCGTTTGCTAATTCTTATGGTGCTTCTGGCGGTGGCGGTCAAAATTTTGGAACACGATCCGGGAGCTCTAAAGGTGGCAGTGATGGATCGTACAATTTCTCCTACGACACAGGACGACAAGCTCACCGAGAAAGCAGCGATGGCAGAGGGAGAGTCGATGGAAGGTATTCGTATCTTAGCGATGGAGGGCAACGTAGCTTGAGCTATCGGATAAGACCTGGAACGGGCTTTGAGGTGATCGGCGGAAATTTAGCATCCAAAACTCCAAAATGAACTACGCTCAGTATTTATTTGATCCCAACACCACATTTTTATATTTTGAATAAAATTTTATGATCAGTTCAGCAAACGTTTGTGTCTCCTTAGTTCATGTAACCTTCGAAGGAATATATAGACCTACTACAGAATTTTTAGCAAGAGTTATTTCAGCATCTCCATTTGAATCAACGTTGATGACCGTTCCTGTACATGCTCCGTGGGATAGTTCTCCCGATATAATATCACAATACTGACCTTGCGGTAGGCACGTGTGGTAAACTTGCGTTATCGTGTCCTCTGAATTGTTGAACACGATAAACCCTTTTTCTCCACGGCAAAAAGCGAACGTTTCATTCGTCGACTGAATATGGTCTAGTGGAGTCCCGTCAACATAGTTTTTGAATAGAACCATTCTTCTAATCTCTGGCCAACGGTGTTCGCATACCCAGCCATTCGTACACGAGCCATCTGCTGCGACGCCTGGAGATTTAATAATTTGAAGCAAATCCTGTGGGGGCCCTTGGTCAGTGTTCGAGAAATCATAAGAGCTCATCACTCTCGCTATTCCATAGTCGGTGGCTAGAGTGAATGCCACTGCCTGGATGTACTGTGGCTTCTTCTTATAGTTGAGAATCGAATCACCTCCTGCTCCGTGACCACGCTGATTGTCATGATTATCTACGAACACCAGAGCTTGACTGGATGGAAGCAGAACTCCCGTTGAGCCGTTCTTAGTGAGCATCTCAAGAGCGGATGCAGTGAGAGTGCCGCCGAAGACTTCCCCCACTATAAGACACCAATCGAACTCCGTTACCACGCCTAGATCCGTATACTCTTTGCTGGAAAATACAACTGTTTTAGAACAATTTTACCTAATCAAAAAACTTTGAGCTACTTACGCGGAAACGGCTTCGGTACCCAGATCGATGACTTCCTGATAGATGAACGGCCTAGCCAATGGTGGATAGAAGTAGAGTGCATTAACCGGTTTCAAGCTATCGTAGATAGCTTTCAAATCTGCTGGAGCCATATGTTTGCACGCATCCATTCGGAATCCTGCTACACCAAGATCGATCAAATGGTTCAAATATTCGACGACCTTCTCCCGTACGAAGCTGTTCGATTGATCCAGATCAGGCAGAGACACCAGTTCGCAATCTCTAACATTGGTCGCATTATTATAATTATCTATCTGGCAAGTGGCATGAAAATGGGATCTGTTGAACGGAACGGCTGGGAAATCCCTAGCCAATGGATCACAGGTTGATCCAGCAGTACCGTATAGCGGTGCATAGGATCCCGGAGCAGCCATGTGGTTAACCACCACATCCACGTAGACTCGCACGCCGGCTTTTAAGCAACGCTGCACCATATCGGAGAACTGCTCCTCGTTACCCGATCGTGATTTGATTTCGTAGGAAATCGGTTGATATCGTTCCCACCATGATCGAGAAGGTGATACTAAGTATTCATTGATCGGAGATACCTGCACGCCTCCATACCCATTCGGTCCCAGCACTTTCTCACACTCTTCTGCAATGTCATCGAACTTCCACTCAAACAAGTGAACAATCCCAGATCGATTGGGGAAAAAGAACGGCTCATTGCGAAGCGTCGTATTCAAGCCTTGACCGGGCACAAGGCTCGGCAAACTATTGGCAACGTTTTTCATTGCGGAAGTGATGTTAGAAAAGCCACGTACCATTGAATCTATTCTGTTCTGCATTTGGTGCCGAATGACACTAGATATATTCCGCCATGCATCAGTGTTGGCAGCTGACTTGGTGTAATTGGCAACATTATTCATTACGCGAGCCACTTCTGGTAGAAATTGGTTCATTTGGTTGAATATCTGGTCGGGGTTAGCGGCTCTCTGATTCGTTATTTTATTCATCGAATCCTTAAATGAGTTGAACAGATCACTGGGATTTCCAAAATTAGGAACGCCAGGAATTCGATTCATGAGCTCATTAAACGTATTCCTAGCCACGTCAGCACCAGAATCGGCTCGGTTATCAAACGAATTCTGGTTTGAATTGGAGTTTGTGTTTGAATTCACTGAATTGCTGGACGGCCTAGCAAATCGAGAAAACGCTGTGATAGGATTTGGCAGCTGTGGCAGCCTTGGAAGGTTTCGTTGTACATTGTTCACTGTGTTTCCGATCGTAGATGAAATTTTAGATATACGATCCATCGGATTTGAAGGCGTGAATGAAGAGTTGAAAAATGGGCTCGAAAACGAAAAGCCACCGAATCCACTGGGACTAATGCTGAATCCGGGGAACTGAGCATTAGTCACCACTAGGGTACAGCACACGATTATAAATAACTGTTTCATTGCGATCGTCGTACCTGAATAAATCCACCGGAAACACTGATGGTTCAGTCTATGATCAACGGAACTTTTATAGTCATCGGGTTGTGAATAAATTTCACGTATTAAACCGTTGTATCCATGCGAAACTAAATATTGCGATAGCAGGAACAGTTCTATCAATAGAATTTATCGTGAGGGATCGATGTTTTGTCGTTGTGTTTGCACTAGTTAGCTGCAGCTGTGTAACTTTTTTGAAATCGAATGTTAATTAACTGGGTTGTTGTTGTGGTTATAGGAAGCATTCTAGCTGCTAGCATCATATCGTTGACTTGCATTTATTTCGCCTTAACATAGTAAAAATAGTAAAAATGCTTCTCCTCACTTCTGAATTTTTTTGAAACTTTCCTTTGAATTTCTTTAAATTCTGTTATGCATGTTATGTTCCTTAGTATTATTTCCAAACTATCTTCTTATGTATTATGTTTGTAAGTCTCTTTGAACCTTCATCTGAACTCTCGGAATGTTGATAGAAATTAATCGTCAATTCTCCTCACAACCAACAACTTTTTTAGAAGCAGCTAGAAATTCATCTTGAGCTGAATAAGCTATTTTTAAGCAGGATCACTATGCCTTATTCTATCCCCATTGCTATTATAAATCTGCCAGCAAAGTTTACCGAACGTATAGCTTTACCCTCCCCACTAACAAACCTCCGTACTCATATGACAATTATGAGATCGTAGAGTTCTCTGCATCTCTTTTAAGTAAGCATCTAACTAACAATCCTTCCCTGTCCCAGCAGTTGCAAGGATGTGGTCAGGACAGTTATCAATGGTGTGAGATAGTGCTACTTCCATCTAAGAGGTCGAGATCATTCTCATATCTCAGTCAATACGGTAACGGCCGGAGGTTGCTGGGTCGATAGGTAGGGTCCAGGTGTGGGAGCTGCCTTCCTGGCACGTCGGTAGCATTGGTGCTCAGCACGGAAAACAAGATCGACAAAAAAAAAACAAACCAAAGGAAAAAAAAAAAAAAAAATCATTACCCTACATGATACATGTGTGGTAATGCAAGTATGGTAAAACTACAGTTTCATCTGCTAGGCTTTACGAATAAATTGCATATTTTATTGCAAAATTGTTAAAAATAAATAAGCCTAAATGTAGGCAATTAACATTAGTTTACACATAACATCATTTTTATGACACATTAATTCGTTTATTTAACGTCGGTCTCTGTTCCGCAATCTATAGGGAATTTCGTTGAAGTTCAGGAAACTTTGTAGATTTCATGGAACTTCACAGAAATTCAACGATATTCTTAAAAGGAGGAAGCTTCGTATGAGTGCAGTGATCTTCATAGTTGTTCAGAAAACTTTGAAGAAGTCAAGTGAACTACGCAGTACTTGCTAAATCTTCATATAAGGTCAAGAGATTTTGTAGAAGTTCAGGTAACTTCGCAAAAATTCGGCAAAATTTGGAGAAGCTCAGTAAATATCGTAGAAGTTTAGAATATTTCGTAGAAGATCAGGAAATATCGTAGAAATTCAGCTATCATCCATTGGCGTAGCTAGACAATTTATCTGGAGGGGGGCTAGATAATTCTGGAGGGGGTCTAGATAACAAGCAAAATATCGACATCTGGCTGGAGGCTACTCCGAAGTGTCTCGTAAAATCATCAAAAGTAAAGGCATACCGGTTGCTGGTCGCTTAGTGCGTGAAAACAGTGAATAAATTGGGAAATTAGAGTGAATTGCTTCGAAAACTTGCAAGGAAAAAATGGTGACCGGAATCGAAGAAAGCAAACCGGTGGAGACCGAATTCGAAGTGGTGGAAGACGAAAGCTGCTCGGAGGAGAGCGACTCCGGTCCAGCCGGAGCCCTCTCGTCCAAATTCGATCGAACGGATGTCTCCATCAATACCAATCCCCTCCCGTACGGAAAGTACACCTTGATTGGCATCGACATTGATACGACGGGTCGTAGACTGATCGATGAAATAGTTCAGATCTCCGCATACACGTCGGAATACCAGTACTCGCAGTACATTATGCCGTTGATGAACCTGAATCCGGCCGGCCGACAGCGGCACCAGGTTCGAGTCATCACAGTTGGTTTCTTCCGCATGTTGAAGAGCATGCAGACCTATCGGGTCGTGAAAACAAAAACGGAAATTTCGGCTCTGAACGAATTTATCACCTACCAGGAGGACGAAGGTTCCGAGGGTATCGTGATGATCTATCATGAACAGCGCAAGTTCGTACCGTACATGCTGATCGAGGCCATGAAGAAGTACAACCTGTTGGATCGGTTCACCGCGACTGTGAAATCGTTCGTAAACGGGTTCAAACTGGCCGAGGACAAGTGCAGCAAGACAATCAAGTACTTCTCGATCCGCCAGCTGGCCAACCTGGTGCTGGACAAGGACGAAGCGAAGGAAGGGTTCGAAGGAAATGCGGCATATCGAGCCCGGTTGGCCTACCAAATTGCACGTCGTTTGTCCAGAGAAAACGACAAGGCAGCTAGCAGCGACTGTCCGCAGACAGCCGAGTGTGTAGAGAGCCAAGAGGACGAGGGAACTGAGGAAGGAGAGCCATGCACACAACCTGAGGCTGCTGACGAGAACGACAATCCGAACCTGAATAAAACCGATGACGATCGACATCAGACCGATGTGGACGCTGTCACTGGTCAGGTGACGACAGTTCCGGAACCGCAACCACGCTCTCGGTCCACGACCGAACAGATGTGCTTGACCCTGTGCGATCTGGCCTCACCGATCACGTGCGAAATTTCCGAACTGGATGAGCAGGAGAATATTCTGGTCCGCCAGAACTCGCTCCGGCCGGTGTTTTTGCAGTGTTTTAAGACGACCATCTACCATAGAGTTAAGGCTGTAACGTACCGACGAGTGCTGGCCGAGAACGGACACGATCTTGCCACGCTGCAGCAAATTTGGACCGACCGCAAGCGCGAGGGTCTGGAGGAGGTAGTTGCCAAGATCACTGACCTGAAGGAGAACGAAAGAACCGAGCTTTCCGAGCTGCTCGATTGCCACTTTGATCCGGACAAGCAGCAGCTGAAAACGGTCATCACGCGCGTCCGCCAACGGCCATCCCGGGTCGGATGTTCTTCGGTAACAAGAGCAGCAATTCATCGGGCAATTGCAACTACAACAACAATGGAAATGGTAACGGCAACGGCAAGGACAACCGTAAACCCATGAACGCTGGTCGCAACAACAACAGCAACGGCAACTACCAGCAGCACAATAATAGTGATAACGGCAATACCAGTGGAAACTACCACGGTAAGAACAAAAACAGCAACAACCAATCGCCGCCGTCCCCGAACGGTGGTGCTGGTGGAAACAGGAAGCTCCGTCCGCGCCAGCCGAGACGCCGTCGCAACCAGAATCAGAACCAGACCCGTCAGAACGGTAACCAACAGAACATGAACCAACCGCCGATCATTCAGGCCAACGCTTGAAAAGTCCGTCCGCTTGCTCACTGCCACAAGGCCGATGTGGATGTTTGGAAATATCTTGAACAAAACTGAAAGCAACTTAAAATATTGAATTGAATTCCTTATGTTTAGTAGTCATGTAAGCAACAATCAATACGAAACTAACGATTTTAAATTGGCTCACCACTTTAGTAGCCTATTGGTCCCAAGCAAACGATTAACGTACCCTATTCTAGTTGAAATTCTATTACTACACTATGTTTGTTTTGATTCGCTATGAAAGCTTGACAGATAACATCAGCGGTGCGTGGATTCATGCAGAACATGCAGGGGTGAGTGAAATAGCTTGGGACTGCTTGGGACCGTTGTTCTGGTACTGAGTGAGCGAAAAATAATAATGATTTTATTCGGGACCCAGTGGTCTTAGAGTTACCTCTATGATGTAAGTGCTGATGATGATGAATAATGCAAGAAGATATTAGTCGAGAAGAGGTTGAAGCCGGTTCCTGATTAGAAGAGATCAGCTATCGATTTGTGTGAAGCTTCGTTTCCTATTCCTATTGCTTCGTTTCGAAGATTCCCTATTTCTATTGTATTGTGAGCAAATGGCTACGCTAGAGTTTAGGGGGTGATATTAGTTAATAACTAATCGTATTTTTTAAATGGCTAAGGCGTTGGTCATGACGGGAGGAACAACACAATAGTTGGGTAAAGAAGAACTGCATTATAACACACCATCGACTGGAAATGCTCTCGCAACGTGGGGCTTTAGGTAGTGATAAAAACGTCGCTAGAACTATTCCACAGCCGCAGTCAGTTTATGAGCAAAAAGAGGGACGCACATTTTTGCCTGTGGACTTGGAGACATACTTCAAGTCCCCGCGTACATCGTACGGGTTAGGCAAAAATGTGCGTCTATCTTGAAAAACTGACGCATTAATGGCCCTTCGCTCATTTTCAACTTCTATTCAATTTTCATACTGCCGTACTGTAACGGAACTATCCACCTACCCTCTTCTAAAGATCATTCTCTAGCTAATAAATCATCACACTAAAGCTTCATGTTAGCATTTCCAACCAACTCTGAAAATCGTTAACTTCGCGTATGAAGTAACATAAAAAAAAACACTTTGAACATTACATTATTGTAATCCCACTACCATTTTTTATATTTACAATTTGCTCAATGCGCAGAATTTGCTCTTGGAAATGCTTTTGAATTTTTTGGATAACAGCAAAGCGGTTGCTCCAATTTCGGGCTCTCGATTGGCAGAGGTAAACGGATGGCTTCCAGGAAGTAGATATTCGTTCGCATTTGTAGAATCCGGAAGGGGGGAAACACGGTTTTGATTCACCCATTATAGCAGATAAAAGAATATATTGAAGATTGAAATCTTGATTGAAACGGAAAGCGAGGCATGTAAGATGTGTGTGAAGAAGCAGCTTCTAGAGATTAGGCAAACATGATTTCAAACTTATACAACAAACACCCCAACTAACATTTTTAGCTTTGTAAGCCAACTTTTCCAGCGTTGTGCTGTAAAGTAGCTGAAAAGAAGCTGCAGATACAGCTGCAAGCAA